GCAGCCTCTGCACAAAGGCTGCGCCCTCGCCCCGCTGACGGCGGCAGCCGCGCCTTTCCCGCAGACCCCTTCGTCGTCCCTCACCCTCCAAACCCGGCTGCCGGAGTGGAATACAGTGACCTGTCGGGTCCCTGTAAGGCACTTGGTCCGTTCATCAATTCACCACATTTTCGGAGCCAAACAATGCGTACTTCGCGCCTGGCGAAGCGCTTGGGTGCCGAGGATCCCGAGATGAGTGGGAACCCACTCAGTCACCCACAGTCGCCCAAGCGGGGCTCTGAAAGTCATCCTACACCGCGACCCCAGTAGCCAAAGAACCCGGTATTTTTGCAGTCTGCACCTTCCCTCCGGCCACACTGGCACACGATCCAGGTACACAGGGCTGTTTTTCATGATAACAAACGATTATAATTTTAAATTTCCTTGTTGATCTTAATAATTTTTCTTAAAGAAGAACCTGACTGTCGTTCCATTTATTTTTCATTTAAAAAATAGCTTTATTGAGATCTCGTTCATATACCACAAAATTCAGTGGTTTTTAGTATATCCACAGAGTTGTGTAACTACCAATATTATCTAACTTTAGACTGTTTACCTCACCTGCCAAAAAAAAAAAAAAAAACAGTACTCATGAGCAGTTACTGTCCATTCCCTGTCAATGTTCCCAAACCTGGGCAACTACAAATCTACCTGTCTTTATGGATTTATGTGTGCTGAACATTCCTTATAAATGGAATCATCCAATAGGTGACCTTTTTGTGACTGACTTCTTTCACTTAGCTAAGTGTTAAAGGTTCATCCATGTTGTAGCATGTATCAGCATTGTATGGATATACCACATTTTATTTATCCATTCACCAGTTGATGGACATTTGAGTTGTTTTCACTCTTTGGCTAGTATGAATAATGCTGCTGTGAACATTTGTGTACATGTTTTATGTAGACGTAGATTTTCAATTCTCTTAGGCATATACCTAGGAGTGGAATAGCTGGATCCCATGGTGACTATGTGGTTAAGGTTTTGAGGAATTACCATTTTCCCAAAATGGCTACACTATTTTACTGGCTCATTCATTTTTAAAAGTTATGACCACTCAGGAAAAATAAAAACACTACATGTCAGGCACTATGCTAGGAGCTTGGGACAAACTGTTGAGGAAAACAGACAAGCTCCCTACCTTCATGGAACTTAGAGTCCAGTAGAGGAGAGAGATAGTAAACAAGCAATTGAGCAAACAAAGGTAAATTTAAAATGTTATTAAATAAAAGAGGAAAAATTAAAATAATAAAATGATTAAGATAAAGTGGCATAAAATGAATGCCAACTAAGACAAGATTAAAGGGTTAAAGTAAAAGGAAAAAATATATAACCCAAGATTCTCATAGTCTATAAACAATAAATACTCACAATCTGAAATCCTTGCCTTCTGGTTGAGGGATCTTCTGTTGTATGTCCTACAAATGATTATCTCTGCTTTGATGTCCTGTGGATGCTGACCTGTGAGTGCCTAGATCCTGGGTGACCTACTGCTCCCCACCCCCAAGATAATCTATTCTTATCTCGCTAAAGTGAGGACACACCCCACCCAGTCTTTTGTCACCTTCTCACCAGCCCCTAAGTCAGGGCTACCTTATGCTGTTAGTTTTGTTGTGACTTGAAGGTACCACTATTTAATTTGATTCAGTGTTTATTACAGTTTCCCTCTCTCTCTCAGATTCAGCATAAGCCCTCCAGGACTGGGCCTAATTTAAAAATTGCTTTAATCCATCACCTACCCTGGACCAGGTTTATATATACCTCAACAGTTTTTTCTTAGAATTGCAGTTATTTCTCCACCTTTGCTCTGATTCCTTTGAGAATCTGAAGAAAATCTCATCCCTGAAAAACAGGAACATGTGCATACATCCACACAGTGTTTCATATACTCTTAAGGAATTTGTGGAACCACTAAAAACCAACTATACGTTCCGTGGAGGAAGAGATCCCAGACTAAAGACCCCTCATTTAAGGGTTTAGGTCATATGGATTCCCTGCCTTGGCAATTGGGTGCAGTCCATACATATTCCTTATCAAAATCACTTTGGCTGCCTGTGAGAAAACTGACCTGCTAAATCCAATCTCTGGGCATGTGTCCTTGGAATCTGCATGGATTTGTTTTCTGTGGCTGCTGTAACAGATTACCACAAATTTAGTAGCTTAAAATGGCAAAACTTTAGTCCCTCATTTCTGGAGGCCAGAAGACTGAAATCAGTTTCACTAGACCAAAATCAAGGTGTTGGCAGGGCTGCATCTCTTGGGAGGCCCCCAGGGAAGAACCTACTTCTTGTCTTGTGGCTGATCATTGATCAGTCTCTGCCACTTGCCTCCATGATCACATTGCCTTCTCCTCTTTGTGTCAAATCTCCTGCCATCTCTTGTAAAGACACTTGTGATCGCATTTATGTCCATAATAATCTTCATTTCAGGATCCTTAACTCAATCACATCTGCAAAGACCCTTTTTCCATATGATAACTGTTATAGGTTCCAAGGAAATCGGACCTGATATCTTTGGGGGCCATTGTTCAGCCTACAATACTGTGTTTTCACAAGCTTCCTGGGAGATTCCTATGAGAAAACTGTGTTATGGAGATGGCCGTCCATATGGAGAAGTTGGGGAGAGCTGCAACAGGAACAATGTTGGCTTTGGAGCCTGCAAATCTTGGACTGCAATTCGCACTCTGCTTCCTGGCAGCTGTGACTTGAGGCAAAGCCATGATTCACTCTGCACTTGAGTATTTTACCTATAAACTGAAGATTGTAGTACCTACCTTAGAGTTACTCTGATCATTAGAAACTCTAGTTATTGCATCTGGCACATGTCAGCTGTGGAAATTACTACTGTTATTGTCTTTCCTAGAAAGAGCCTTAGATCCACTAAAAAATGTTCAAAAAAATCTAAAGAATGATGGGAGACAGAGATCTCAGTTCTTCTCTTCTCTTCTCTTCTCTACCAGATGCCAGAAGTATCTGGTCTTTGGGCTTTAAATGGTATCCCTGTATCTGTGCCTCCCAAATGAATATCTCTAGGTCAGAGCCTCCACATTTTAGACTCCCATATGCAGCTGCCTACTCGACATCTCCTCTTGCATGTCTGATTGAACACGTCTAAAACTAAACTGGCGATTTTTCCCTCCCAAAACTACTCCACCTGCAGTCTTCCCTCCACGGGCCGATTGGCTGTCCTGGTCCTGTAGCGGACTCCTCCTGTGCCCTGTGCCCGCACTCCTCCTGTTAGGGCACTTTCTCCAAGTGTGATGAGTGTTTTCTTTCTGCCAGGCTGTGAGTGTCTTCAGCCAGGGTTGTTTAGTTCATACCTGTATCCCCAGCTCTTAGCTCAGATCCTGGCACATAATAAGAAAATGTTTATTGAATGAATAAGTTGACTTTTAAACAGTCCATAAAATGTGATATGTACTGTAGTAGGAACATGATTACAATGCTTTGGCAACGACTGACATTGTGTGTGTGGGTGTGTTGGGGAAGGCTTTCAAGAAACACATGAGCTGGGCTTTGAAGAATAAGTTTGCTTTTGGCAGCGAGGCCATGGAACCAGTCCTGAACAGGCCCTCCTGGAGGTGAGAAGAGCATGGCCTGTGGACACTGGCAAATAGTGGAGGTACTATGAGGGTAAATCAAGTAAGAGGCAGTTCGCAGCCTGGTCATGAGGGAATCAGGACTTCACCCTGTGGGGAACATCTAGGATTATGTATTGTAGCCAACTTCCTCCCTGCCATTAGGACCCCTCCCAAATTCTCCCAGTACCTTCCATAGGGTCAATCCTCAGGAAATGAATCAGTTCATTTACCAGGCTCTACTGAGGCTTGGCAGATGTCCCACCCAGAAGCTAATGTTTTTTGGCCAAGGTCCTGAGTTTGCCAAAAAGAAAAACAAGAGGATTATAACACATGTCTTCCCTCCACGGCTCAAAGGCATTTCCTGTTGGCAGAGGCACTACACCCACAGTCATTATCCTACAGAAGGGCAGGCTGTGGCAACCTGGGCAGCCCTGCAGGAGCAGGCAGCCAATCACGACCATGAATCCCAGCCACCTGTGGGCAGAGAGGCCAGCAGCCGGCGGCTCTCTTCTGAGGACGCATTGTCCCTTGAAACATTTACAATGTTCTTGTAAAAGGCATTATTTAGAGGAAGGGCTCATGGCTACTAATAAAACATTAACATTTTTAAAAATTCACATGAGTTTGATTTACCTACCATAAATGTAGAGAAATCAATTCTAAGAGAATGCATTTTGATATAATGGCATTTCCAAATCTTAATCAGTTCCCTTGTGGATATGCTGGATGGAGTGTCAGGACTGAAGCAGGTAGTAGGACTATTGGGGTCCTGGGTTCTATTTAAAACTCTGTCATCAACATACAGTATGATATTGTGAAGGTTACCTTCCCCCCTTCAAGTTATTCATTAATAACATCTGATTGCTGAAAATCACTTTATGATGCTCAGAAGGCAGGCAAGGGCTAATGGAACTAACAGATGTTGAAACGCTACATCAAGGAAAGTCTTACATTTTTAAATTAATGTTGCCTAATAGCAAGGCAATTCACCTTTTAAAGAGCCAGCTAAATAGGATGCAGTACTTGAATATTTGCATTGAAAAATTATTGAGAAGAAATGTACGTTCTCACAGCATCTCGCCAAGTTCTTATATGCCGGTATGGGAGATGGATAACCCCACTTCCCAAGAGCCAGCGAAGGCAAAGAGTGAAGACAGAGCTACTGTCTCTGTTGTTGTAACTCTTTGTTTCTAGTCTCACAGCACAATTCTGTCTGCTCTTCTGAATGGCTCTGAGCCCTTATGGCACCTGTCTTCTCTTATGACCCTTTGCTCAATTTTTTATTTTGAAAAAATTTTAAACTACAGAAAAGGTGAAATTGAAAG